TGAGCGATAAGAAATTTAATGAGATAATGACATATAACAAAATGCTTGAGACACAAATTACCCAACTAGCAAATACTTTGAAAGATTGTGCTAGTCCTTCTTCATTGCCTTCTTAGGGAGTTGATTCTAAGAAACCCGTTTATTCCATCACCACAAGGAGTGGAAGATTTCTTGAAAAGAGAGTTTCTAGGGATTGTGGGAGGACAAGAAGAAGAGTGTTTCAAGTGAGCAAAAAGAGTAAGATGCGTCAAGAGATGTGAGCAAAATAGAGAGCCATGAGAAAAAGAAGAGTGATGAGAAAAAGCAAGAGGAAATGAGAAAACCCAACCTTCCATATCCCCAAAAGTTTATGAGGAACAAACTAGATGAAAAATTTAGGAGATTTCTTGAAATGTTGAAGGAGGTCCATCTTTCTATCCCTCTTATTGAAGCCATGACCCAAATTCCTAGATATTCCAAGCTCCTCAAGGATATCTTGAATGGCAAGAGAGATTGTAATGAGATAGATTCGGTGGATCTTGGTGAGTGGTGTAGTGCTTTGATTCCCAATGACCTCCCTAAGAAGATGAAAGATCCAGGTAATTTCTCCATTCCTTGTAAAACCAAGAGTAAGATGTTTGAGAATGCTTTATGTGATTTGGGTGCTAGTGTGAGCATAATGCCCTTTTCGATCTTCAAGAAGCTAAAGCTAGGAGAACTTCTTCCTACCAACATGACTTTGCAATTGGCCGATAGGTCCATCAAGTTTCCAAAGGGAAGAGTTGAGGATGTTCCCCTTAAGATAGGTGGTTTTACAATTCCCATTGTTTTCATTGTGCTTGAAATAGAAGAAGATTACCACATTCCTATTATCTTAGGGAGACCGTTCTTAGCTACTTCGGGAGCTTTGATTGATGTTAAGGGAGGCCGTATTACCTTGAGAGTTCGTAACAAGAAAGAAAGCTTTAAGCTAAAACCAATGCATGAGTCCTTATCTCTTATGAAAGGAATCAAGAGTGATGATTCCCTTCGTTCTTTTGATAATGTGTATGTGATTGATTCTTCATCTAACAAAGTTCATGATATTTTTGATGATGTGCTTGTAAATTTTTATTGCATGAAAGTTAGTGAAGATAAGAAGGAGCTACCAAAGGCTATGAACGAAGAAGAGATTGACATTCCTCATTGGTTTGAGATCTACCCTCGAGAGGAAGAGGAAGATTCCATGGAGGTAGATGGTGTGAAACCGTCTACAAAAAGAAACAAAACCAAGAAGAAAGCAAGAGCTTTGAGGAAAAAGAGAATGAGATTGAAGATGAGAAATGAAAAGATTATTTTTGATGTGCAAGCAAGTGAAGTCTTGTCAAGCAACAACGAGAGGTTGCTTAAAAATGAAGGAGAAGTTATTTTATCCGCTACGTTGGATAAGGTGGTGTTCTTGGACCCTCCGTGATTTGGAGGAAGGGTCGAGCTTAGGACCTTAAGCAAGCGCTTTCCGGGAGGCAACCTGGAGATTTCTAACCTTTTCTTTTGATTCCTATTTTTCTTAATTTTCTTTCTTTTAATTTCTTTTCTTTTCTTTCACTTGTTTTTATTTTGGATTTATAAGTTGAATTCTTGGAGTTAGATTACATCAAATGGGAACAAGCTATGGAATGGTGTTTTGTGGTTTTTGATGTATTTATATTCAATTTTATTGAAATTTTGAGGTAAAAGGGGTAAGAATTGTTAGAAAGGTAAGTTAGGAAATTTGTGCTTAAGTTTGAAGAAATTGGAACTTAGTGAGTTCATCGTGGTGCTACCATTATTTGGGGTGTTGAACCCGCATTTTTTACATTTAGAAACTGATCGTTATGATGGGGTCAAAAATTTCGGAATGATAGTTATCGATGTACCCACACATGAACGCACCAAGGAGAAGGCATAAGGTGCAGCAGTTGGCGCGGGCGCGCATAGCCCATGCGCGGGCGCGCACGACACTTGCGTGGGCGCGCTGCCAGGTCGCGCGGTCGCGCACCCCCCTCCTAGCCGTGCCTTTTTCTTTCTTCTTTCTTTTCCCTCATTTCCCCTTTGTTTTGGGTGTTTTTGTCCCTTGGGGGAGTTGTACCTGCAAAACAAACGGAGACACCGGTTGGGTGGTGCTCCGCCTCCGACGCACAAGTCAGTAACTTGAAACGGAATAGAGAGAACGAAAATTTAGGTGGGTATCTGCTCGGATTCCAAGCTCAGGTCTTTCTCTGATGTAAGAGAATAAGGGTGTAATTAATGATTCAATGTGTCCCCCAAAGTTGGGAAATATCTCCCTATTTATAGGGTCGTTGGAAAATGCGCCCCTATCTAGGTCACTTGACCTAGATTTTAGTGGGCTGCGCCGTTTTATGGCGTGCTTAGGAATCTGGGCCTTTAAAGGCCGCCATTTTGGAAACATATCTGAGGGAGCCAAGTGTCAAGAGGATGTTGAGCCACATGGGCCATCCTAAGCTCGACACGTGGCGACCTCTCATTGGTACACGTATCTAGGGTAAAAATACCCTAAAAATTTGCCCCTCACAGGTCGCACGTGCATGTCACGTGGGGCCTGTGACACGTGTCCACCTTTCATAGGTGAACAGTAACGGGTAAAATTTTGAATTTCAAATCAAAATTTCCCCCCACTTTTAATTTCTATAAATAGAAATTGACCCCCCTCCTTTTCACTCTTAACGTTCATATTGACTTTTTAGAGAGAGAAAAAGAGAGATTTCTAAAGAGAGAATTTTCTCTGCTCCCGCCTGCATAACAGCAAGTTTCAAGCTTCCGAGTGCTAGAAGTTCATCACCCGGCTCACCAGGTGTAGCGGTTTTCAGATTTTCCAGAGTTAAAGCAAGGTAACCGCCTGTACCATTTTAGCTTTTCTCCCTTTCAATTTGCATACCGATTTTCGCTTGTATACCCGGCTTTCTTAATAGAACATAAATGAGTTCCCAATCCACCCACTCGGCATTGCCTAGGACACTCAGCCGATCCCTTGGAACGGCTGAGTCTAGAACAGGGGGTGCCTCTTCTGGACTGTCGGAACCAATATGCTCATCTCCGAATTCCTCCCTCTCTGTGTCTGTGCAGGACACAATGGCCAGAACGAAACAAACGGTTAGGTGATCTAAGAGCCGGCGCACCATGAGAGTGCCTGCCGATGAGGTATTCCCGGAAGGGGATCCGAGGAATTTGGAGGAGAGCGGATCTGACGAGGAGGCTCCCTCTACCTCCGGGAGCTCGGGAGTAAGAGAGGTGGACGGCGAAGGAGCCGCCTCCTCAAATGAAGTCGGCGATGCTGAAGCCGGCCAGGGATCAAGAGCGGAATCCTCCGGCTCTGACCAAGGAGATTTTGCGGCTGACTATCAGCAGCCGCCCAAAGTTGCTGACCATCCCAACCCTAAAAGAACCCGGATGTTGCTGAGTAACATTGCCCTTCTTAATAGCGGGTTCAGGGCTTTTAAAGAGAAACATCCATTTGGAAAGGGTTGGGAAGTTATTGTCCCTCCGGCTGATGATGTGATGGCCTGGGGGGATGACATTGACCATGCAGATGACTACTTCATCTGCTATGAGGCGGTAATAGAAGCCGGCCTCCGGTTCCCCCTCCACCCCGGGATTAGGAAAATCCTCAAGGGTTATGATCTGGGGGTTTGGCAGCTCACCCCTAATTCGTGGGTAAACATATTAAGTTACATTGCCGCCTGCGAGTTCCAAAACTTGAACCCCAGCTTCTCTGCCTTCGCTCATATGCACTACTTGAGCAAGGCTCCAGGCGGCCATGGGGCATGGTATACGCTGACTACCCTGCCCCAATATCTAATGACGTTGGACAAAGTGTCCAAGTGGTCCGGGTGGAAGGACAAGTTATATTTGATTTCCTCTCCAACCCTAAGACACAACCGGACACTACGCTGGTACAACACTTAGCCAGCTTTTCTTGGATGTAAATGCCCTCTCCCGGAACTATCTACTAAAGCCTAGGAGCAAATCATGGAGCCGGGATTTTTTGAGATAACAACTGAGCCCATGGGGGATGGGACTCACATCATAGTTCCCAAGAACTGGATACCCCATCCGGACTTCTTCAAACATGAGTGCTTCTTGTCCGCCTGCGGACTGAGTACGATGTTTTCCAGGGGTAGAATACTTCTCATCCGGAATGATTGTCATTTTATTTTTATTGCAAACTTGCCTTAATTCTTTCTAACTTGACATTCTTGTTTTTGCAGAAGAAGCCCTGAGGATGGTTGACCAGGATAAGACTCCTGCTAAATATGCGGCACTACTGCGCAAGGAGGCGGCCCTTGTCAAAAAGGCAGTCGTCGAGGCTACGAAGAAAGGCGGGGTAAGACCGCCTGACTTTATGTTTGCATATTTTTATTTTTTAAAAAAACATACCGGTTGGGTATACTTAAATTTTGCTTCTTTCTCAGGAGTCCGCAAAGAGAATCCCTCAATCATTCTCCAAGCTTCTCAAGAGGCAGGGAGATGATCTGGAGAAGGCTCCGGCTGCCAAAGCCGCAAGGAAGGATCCCCCCCAGAAGCAAAGTTCTGCCCAATCTGGTCGTCCAACGAATGGGGGAAAATCCCCTGCTGTTCTGAAGAAACTGAGTGAAAGCTCAGAACAACCGAAAGCGCCGGAGGCCTCTACGGCTTCGAAGGGTGGCGAGCCACCTAAGGTTGCAGGCGGTGCGGCAACCGCTTGGGGGGAGGACAAGCCGGAGACCCATCCGGAAGTTCACGGTAAGAAACAAACTGAAGTACCTTGGCCACTTAATTTTATTAGAATTAAGACTAAGGTTGATTCTTCAAAAGGGTTAGCCAGCAGCCGGCAGCGGACGAATGCCAGCTACGCTGCTTCAATCTCACAAAGTCCTACTTTTGATGCAGATCTGCTTCCTAACCCGCCGGATCTCGCCCGCTTCGCGAAGTGGATGGTGAGGACCCTCACCCGGTCTGAGAAGGCCTCCATACCTGATCTGCAGGTCGTGGACTTTGACCGGATAATGGGCTCTCTGGCTGAGGTACATGATTCCTCTACCTTGATGTCTTTAATCTTTATTCTGACTAAGTAACTCATAAACCGGCTGTTATTGATTCAGGCCATGGTGAGAGTGGACAGTCTCCGGGGCCCCTTCAGGCGGAAACAGGAAGAGGTAAATGACGCCAAACGGAGGGCCCTAGAAAACCTCAACTTTGCTGAACATTCTGATTATATGTGTAATTTAAAGATTAAAGCAGTAGAGTTGAAACAGGAGGAGCTGTTTCGGAGTTTAACGGCTGCAAACGATGAAGCTAACAGCCGGGCTAATGACCTTGACAAGCAGCTGAAGGATGCCAAGTCTGATCTCAAGGCATTAGAGGATGCTGACAAAGAGAATGTCCAACTCCGGACTGACAATGACCGCCTGAAGCTCGAGCTCATGACCCAGCGCAACATGCAGGCGGATGAGCTGGCCAAGGAGCAAACCCGGATGACCGAGGAGAATGAGCGGGACAACTTGGCCCGGCTGAAGATCACCGGGGGCCTCCTCTACCCAGAAATAGACTTTGAGGTCTATAAGCTGAGGTATGATTATGCCACTGAGGTGTATGATGCCCAACAACTAGGTGATGCTCCTCCGCCTCGCTTCCAAGACTGGGCTGCTGAGCAGGGATATGAAGTCTCGGATGATGAGGAGCCGACGGATGATCATCAAGAGGGCCAAGCCAGCCAAACTCAGCCGGAGAAGACTCCGCCTCAGCCTTAGGCGAGCCTCCCACCTTTCTGCGGCAATATGCCAATCAATATTGTTTACCGGCTTGCATGTCGTTTTTGTTTTATCTTTTTACCAACCATGGGGTTGCCTTAACATTTCCACTTTCTTTCTTCACCGGATGTGTCCGGTTAACAATTATTCTGGCCTTTGTGCCATTTTATATGAATGAAGTATTCCAACTCAATCGGATTTTATATACGTCTTGAGTTTTTTCGATTTGAATTTTTATTCCTCTGTTTGCAATTCTATAGTATTTTGCCTAGCTTAAAAAAGCATGCGGCATTTTGCAATCCGGGTGCTCTTGCCCCTGGGCGGCTGTGTGGTTGGTTTTATGTCAGGCTGATTGATTGGCTTGAAAACACTTGATACTTGGAGAAGTATGGAGTGTTTTTAGGCTAATCAATCACAGTGGTGATCGCCCCAAACCAAGTGCACAGCCGGCCATAAAAGCGGGTGCTTCGAGATTCTTACCCAGACGGTTATATTTCGTCTGAGGTTAACGCATAGCCATTACACAATCCTTTGCCCCAATAGGGGAAGTGAGTGCAACTTTGGAATAAATAACCCAAGAATCTCTATCAATGACCGACTGATGCCTATGGGAATCCGGTATCTGGAAACTTATTCGTTCTTCATAGGTTATTTTGGTCAGACGGCTATGAGTTGACCAATTTGGTCGTTCAATTTTTGTCGTCTACATGGGTAGAACTGACAAATAGTCTATTCTCTGCTACGATTGCACCCATAGGGGTGTCGCCGGACGCCTTTGTCCATGTTGGGATAGGCAATTTTATAAAATGAGCAACCATCCGGCCATTTTGGCCTCTGGCCTTGTTTGAGACCGATTGTATAGCCACTAAACGTTTTTGCGCTTAGTTTTTAGTCAGAGTATTGAATTTACACTAAGTATTGAACTTAGTTTTTAAAGAAAACGAGTCTGTCTGGGTATTACCCAGACGGACTGGAAAATATTTGATCATACTAAGTATCAAACTTAGTTAGATGAATAAAGAATCCGTCTGAGTATTACCCAGGCGGATAGTCAGGCAGTTGAATAAACAAAGTATTAAACTTAAATAAACAAGAGATCCGAGTATTACCCAGGCGGACAAACAAATGTAACCTTCACTAAGTGTCTAACTTAGTTAGGTAAATGAGGAATCCGCCTGGATATTACCCGGATGGATAATCAAACGATAACTCAATTTTGCAAACAAAGTCTGAATCTTCATTAATTGACTCATTGTTTACAAAAAGTTTACATTCTCAGAAGTAGTACTTTTTTAGCTTGTCTACATTCCAAGTTCTAGGCAGGCGCCTGCCGTCTGGAGTTTCCAGGCGGTAGGTGCCGTCCCTTACTTCTTCATAGATCCGGTAGGGGCCTTCCCAATTTGGAGTTAGCTTTCCCAGCTCATTGGCCCTACCGGTTGCCTCCATTTTTCGTAACACTAAGTCGTCAACTTTCAAAGGACGCTTGTGTACTTTTTTGTTGTAGGCTCTCAACATTCTCAGATGGTATATCTCATGGCGCAGGACAGCATTGCCCCTACGCTCCGGGAGGGAATCCAATGCCAGCCGCATGGCCTCCCAATTTGCCTCTTCATCATAGAGCAAAACTCTGAGAGTCGGCTCATAATGCTCAATAGGCAAAACGGCTTCAGCACCGTATACCAGAGAAATGGGGTTTCGCCGGTTGCCCCCTTCGCCGTTGTCCGGATGGCCCATAGGACATGGATTAATTCTTCTGCCCATAAGCCACCGGCTCTTTCTATTTTCTTTTTAATGTCGTCTGAGATGAGTTTGTTGAAGGCTTCAACTTGGCCGTTTGCTTGGGGCCGGCCAACAGATGCAAAATAGCTTGAGATCCCCTGATCTCCCAACCAAGTTTTTAGCTGAGGCGTCTCAAACTGAGGACCATTATCAAACACCATAGACATAGGTACCCCGTACCGGGTGATAATGTTCTTCCAAATGAAGGAAATTACGTCTGAGGTCTTGATGTTTTTGACCGCCTCAGCCTCCACCCACTTGGTAAAGTAATCCACAGCCACCAAGATGTAGCGCTTTCCGCCTGGGGCAGGAGTGTAAGGACCTAGAATGTCCATTCCCCATTTTGCAAATGGGATTGGGCTGTGGATGGCCGTCAGATCAGTAGCCGGTCGGTGAATAAGTTTGCCAAATTTTTGGCACCTGTCACATTTCTTCACCAACTCTTTGGCGTCTGCCTCAAGAGTGGGCCAAAAGTACTGTCGTCTGGCTTTGACGGCTAGGGACCTGCCGCCTATATGAGAACTTCCTTCCCCTTTTCTAGGGTGACACACTTCAACAGGGGTTTAAGAAATCCCGCTTTGAAGAGTTCTCCATTTTTCAACTCGAAGCTTGCGGCTCGCTTTTTCAGGACGGCTGCTTCCTGTGGTGAATCAGGGAGCGTGCCATCTGAAAGGTAAGCCCGGATGGCATCCATCCAAGTGGAGCCTCGGTCTAAGGTTCCAATGGGCTCTTCATGTATGCTTCTTTTTTCAAGAACTTCCCAAAAAATCGACCGAGGAGTATCACAGTAGGCGGATGAAGCTAATTTGGACAAGGCATCCGCCTGGTTGTTATCTGACCTGGGCACTTGATTCAGATGGAATTCCTCAAGTGCCCCAATCTCTTCCTTGACTGCCTGAACATATTTGATCATAGCCGGATGAGTTGCCTCATATGCTCCCTCATACTGGCTAACGACCAACTGTGAATCAGAATAGGCGTCAATCTTCATTGCCCCTGCCGCCTTACACATGCGGATTCCAGCTAGCAGGGCTTCATATTCTACCTCATTATTTAAGGCTTGAAACTTAAACTGTAGTGCATATTCAAATTTTTCCCCCTCTTGGGACTCATATATAATTCCTGCACCACAGCCGTTCTTTGTTGAGCTTCCGTCTACATACACTTTCCAAACCCGGTCAAGATTTTTCGGTTGCACCGGTCGTCATTTCAACAATGAAGTCGGCAAACGCCTGACCTTTCACTTCTTTCCTAGGTTCAAAAGTGATTTCAAGACTTTGCATTTCAATAGCCCATTTCAACATTCTTCCGGATGACTCCAGGGTAGACATTGGCCGCTTGAGGGGCTGGTCGGTGTAGATTACCACCGGATGGGCCAGGAAGTATGGCTTTAATTTCTTGAAAGCCATATACAGGGCAAGGTCAAATTTTTCTACCATGGGTAACAGAGCTCAGCATTTTTTAAGACATGGCTAATGAAATAGACCGGAAGCTGAACACCGTCTCTGTCAGCAAGGAGAACGGCACTGAGGGCATGATCTGAGACAGCTAAGTACATGTATTACACCTCCCTAGGCAATGGACTAACAAGTCTTGGCAAAGAGTGGAGGTGTTCTTTCAGCCGTTGAAAGGCCGCCTCAGCCTCAGCCTCATCCCCCCATTCAAATCTGGTTTTCTTCCTGATTACCTGGAAGAAGTAAAGGCATTTGTCACCTGACCGGCTGAGGAATCTCCCCAGAGCGGCCAGGCAACCGGTTAGTCTCTATGCTTCCTTGACAGTGCGGGGTGACTTCATGTCAATCACCGCCTGTATCTTCTCAGGGTTAGCCTCTATCCCCCTTTGATCAATCAGGAATCCGAGAAACTTCCCAGACTCAACACCAAAGACGCATTTCTTAGGATTTAACATGACCTTATGCCGCCTGAGTGTGGTGAAGGTTTCTCGGAGATCAGCAAGGTGATCCGTCTGCTGTTTGGATTTGACTATTATGTCATCAATGTATGCCTCTACATTCCTCCCAATTTGATTAACGAAGACAATGTTAATCATCCGTTGGAATGTAGCCGGCGCATTTTTCAAGCCATACGGCATCACCGTGTAACAGCATAGCCCCTGATCAGTGACGAAGGCTGTCTTTTCTTGATCTTTCTTCCATAGGGGTATCTGATGGAAACCGGAGTAGGAGTCCATGAAACTCATCAAGGCGTGACCGGCTGTAGAGTCGACCAGACTGTCGATCTTTGGAAGCGGATAACTGTCCTTTGGACACGCCTTGTTGAGATCTGTGTAATCAACACACATGCGCCAGGCCCCATTCGGTTTCTTAACAAGGACCACATTGGCCACCTAGTCGGGAAAATTACAAGGCCGAATGAACCTGGGGTCTAGCAGCTTTTTGACTTCGGCAGCTGCCGCCTGTCTTCTTTCCTCGCCGTGGTTTCTTTTCTTTTGCCGGATGGGCTTCTTTTTGGGGTCCACGGCGAGTTTGTGGATAGCGAGGTCCGGGCTGACGCCTGGCATCTCTTCCACTTCAAAGGCAAAGATGTCTTTGAATTCCTTCAGCAGAAGGTGCAAGTTTGCACCCAAAGTAGCATGAGCAACCGTCCCAACCTTAACAGTACGTTCTGGACGGCTGTTATCCAGAACGAGATCAATGCTTTCGCTAGCCGGTTGGGGACGGAGCTCATCTGACCGCTCACCGGTCAGTGATTGCTATTTTTTCTCCTTCTTCACCTCCACCAGCAGAGGTGCCTTTCTTTTCTTACCGGCTGCTGGTGGGGCGGGTGCTGGATTGGCATCCTTGACATTGTCAAGGTCTATTGGTTCCTGGACAATTGGGGTTACAGTGTCCCTGACGGCTGAGAGGTAGCACTCCCGAGCCGTCTTCTAATCCCCATTCAGGGAACCAACAGTGCCATCATCCTTCTCATACTTGATGAGCATGAGAGATGGGATGATTACTGCCTTGGCTACATTGAGGGTTGGCCGACCTAAAATAATGTTGTAGGCGGTCAGTTCCTCAACG